CCAAGTTTTTTTTGTGTGTAGGTGTGTGTGTGTGTGTGAATCTGTAAGCATGCACTGATCATTTCAGGGGTGAAAAAATTGTGTGTTTTGAGGGATTGTTCAATGTGTCTTTGAAGAGGTGCTTGAGTAAAAATGTGCCCTCCTGCTGTACTCAAAAACAAAAACAACTGTTACTGTGTATATGCACCTGGCTGCAGCCAAAGATAAGCATGCAGCTTGGTTGAGGCATTATTTCATTAACAGAGAAGGACAAAGACCTGGAGCAAAGAAAAGGAGCAAAAATGAAAAGACATTACAGGGCAGAAGAGGTTTTAGAAATGGCAATGAAGCCTTTACCTGCCAGTGAGCTGCAGGACTCACCTGAAGAAGATGGGGGAGGGTAGCCTGACACACTTTCAGAGGAAGGGTCAATGGACCTTTGAAGGACTGTATTGATGACTGTCAAATTCTATGGAGTGGAACTGCATGCTGTAACTTTGTGCAGAGATAATGTCTGCATCTTTAATTAATCAGACGGCCTGTTTTGCATCTTCACATAGGCCCACATTTGACTAGTTCTGCTTTGTCCTGCAATAGACAGCGCTGCTTTGTCTTACTTGGACCCACACTTTGAGTAAATTTTCTGTTGATTTTATACAGTCCTCTTCTGTCTTCACTTCTTGTGCTTTCACACTTCTTGTGCTGTGGGTTTTTCTAACAGCTGTACGGTAATCGTGGTTCCAGCAGGCAATTGGCTGGGTGTCAGTCTCTGCTCTGTCTCACTGCAGATGATGAATTCCAAAACACAAAGTAGGTGGGAAAGGAGCAAAGACCATTTCACTTAGATATGAATAAAGCCTCCAGCCTCTGGCAGGCAGTTGTTTTGTATGGGATTACTCGAACTGCTGGTCTCTACAGGGCAAACTGCAACGCAATTATCAGTAAAATCTTCCCAGCTGATTTTTTATCTTCTAGCACAATACCAAGTTTTCTGAAAACAGCATTGTTTAGGTTTATTATGGTTTGGCCTGGTGTCAACTCTCACAGGTCTTGGCAAAGAGAGAGCAAACCCTGAGTGAGGGAGGAAGAGAGAGAGAAAGAGGGTGGAAAAGAGAGGGAGGAAGAGAAGAAGAGGGAGAGCGAGAGGGAGGAAAAGAGAGAGAGAAAGAGGGTGGAAGAGAAAGAGGGAGGAAGAGAGAGAGAGAGAAAGAGGGAGGGAGAGAGAGACAAAGAAAGAGGGTGGAAGAGAAAGAGGGAGGAAGGGAGGAAGAGAGAGAGGGAGGAAGAGAGGAACAGAGAGAAAGAAGGTGGAAGAGAAAGGGGGGAGAAGAGAGGAAGAGGGAGTGAGAGAGAAACGGAGAGAGAGAGAAAGACGGAGGAAGAGAAAGAGAGGAAGAGGGAGGAAGAGAAAGAGGGATGGAGAGAGAGAGGAAGGGGGAGTGAAAGAGAGGGAGGAAGAGAGAAAGAGGGAGTGAGAGAGAGGGAGGAAGAGTAAGGGAGGGAGAGAGAGAGGAAGAGGAAGTGGGAGAGAGGGAAGAAGAGAGGAAGAGGGAGAGAGGGAGGAAGAGGAAGAGAAAGAGGGAGGGGGAGAGAGAGGGAGGAAGAGGAAGGAAGAGAGAGCAGCACCGACTGTTAAGTCCTAAAGCAGGAATAAACACAGCCACACCTGTGGGAAGGATTTTATGTGAATACAGTCAAAACACACACTTCTGTCTGTTCTGGTGTGCAGCCTTGTGTGTGTGTGCGTGGGGTTGTCTTTATATACTTGTGCGAACCAACCCCTGACGGAACACCTTTCTTGTGTGGACATTTCTTCTTGTGTGGACCTTTTGGGTGGTCCACACAAGGAAAATGCTAGGATAGGCTCCTTTTATCCTAAAGAATGATCTGTCTAAGTTTCAGAAGATGTCCACATACAGAGAGTAAAGTCAGAAAAATGTGTGCCAGCTTGTGCTCTAAAAGTATCATGCTCTGATTAAATACTGCTTAAGCTGAATTCATGCAATACTGCCTGTGTCTTTAAAAGGTCTTTACCACTACTGTTCATATTACAGCGGAAAATCGAAGGTATTGTGATGCGCGTCCGCTCTGGTTGGCACAGAAATTCAAGTAGAAATTCCCATGGGGTGCTGTACAAAACGGCACCTTCTTACCTACAGTGCTAATGTTGCTGGTACTAGATACAGAACCTACGTTTTACAGGCTCAGATTGTGTTTTTTAGACAATGTTAGTAGTGGCACTCGCTTGCTGATGTTTTGCTAAGTAAATAGGTTGTCTGTTTCTATCTGCTCTTGATATGAGCGTCATATGTTATTGTCCAGCCTTGGAAATTCAGAAATGTTGCTTATGTTATGTTACATTATGCTATTTACAATTAATAATACATGTAAATAATTTTGTCATAATATGAAATTGGCTGTGAAGATGCCCGAATGCTTGAATTTAATATTTTGTAATACTGATAAATGTTGTTATAATTTTTAATGCCACATTTTAGATTTAATTTCATTTAACAATTTTTTTTTTGCAGAGTTTGGCTGAACTGTGACAGGATGGATGAGCTAACTGACTACTTAAGGTCACGGCATGTCCCCGAAGAAGACATACAGCGAATGGAACAAGATAAGGTAGTTTGTATAAAAAAGGTTTTCATTTTGATAAATCACATAGACATCATAAACCCAATGTTTTTAAGAGACTGCTATATCTGGTGTGCTGCCTGCAGATTGTTCATTTTTATAAGACAACAGTCAATTAATGTACTTTAACTTAAAAATGCATTATTTCTTTATTGTAGATTGATTCCAGTGTTATATGTCTCATGACAGATGACCAGCTAAGCCATTATCTACCATCCTATGGTGAACAACTGGCTGTGCTTGGATACTGCAGGTGGAAAGACAAAGATCCCAGCACTCGCAAATCAAAACTCTTTGAGCAATCTGATGGATAAAACTAAATTTATGGTATTTGGGAATCGTAGACTTCAATTGTAAATTGGGGGAGCTAATATAGAACGAGTATATGAAATTAAATTTCTAGGTGTCATAGTTGATGACAAATTCTCCTGGAAATCTCATATCAGATATGTTCAGCACAAAATAGCAAAAAATATATCGATATTGGCAAGGGTTAGATATATTTTGGACAGGAAAGCACTACGCATTTTGTATTCTTCATTGATTTTACCATACTTAGAGTATGGCATTGAAAACTGGGGAAATACATACAAAAGCTCACTTCAACCATTGTATATATTACAAAAAAGAGCGATAAGAATTGTGCATAAGATGGGGTACAGGGATCACACCAATGGAGCTTTCATACAGTCTAAATTGTTAAAATTTTTGATTTAGTGGGGTATAAGACTGCTGTGTTTATGTATACAGCCAGGAACAATTTATTACCTAATTATGACTTAGGTAAGTCGAAATTTTGACTTTTTATCTCATAGTTTTGACTTTGTAGATCAAAAACTTTTTTTGGTACTGGGGGAAATGGGCTTCCATACACTGGAAAGATATTTTAATAACATATAAGAAAGCCCTTCGTAGTGCCAGAACCGCATTTTATTCATCACTGAGAGAGGAAATAAGAACAACCCCAGGTTTCTTTTCAGCACTGTAGCCAGGCTGAAAAAGAGCCACAGTGCTGTTGAGCTTAACATTCCCTTAGATCTCAATGACTTCATGAGCTTCTTTACAAATAAAATCACAACTATTAGAGAAAAAAATGGTCAGACCACTCCCACAGCTCTCATGGATTTGCCATCTACTACAATGGCTTTAGAAACATCAGTGAGACCTCATTTATACTTGGACTACTTCTCCCCTATAGATCTCTCTGAGTTGACCTCAACAATTGCTTCATCTAAATCATCAACATGTCTCCTGGACCCCATCCCGACCAGGCTGCTCAAAGACGTCTTTCCCCTAATCAACACATCCATACTAGATCTGATTAACCTCTCTCTATTAACAGGCTATGTGTCATGATTCGGTCCAGCTTTTATTTTGACGTTGCTTCCTGTTTTTGTTTTCACCTTAGTTTCGGTCTTTTTACGTTCTTCATCACTCGCATTAGTTTCGCCTGCTCCTTATTGTTTATACCTCTATTTAGGCAGCGTCCTCCCACAACGGCGCTGCCAGATTGTTCTAGACCGCAGCTCTGACTCTCCAGCTTCTCGGACACAGGACTTGTCTCCATACTTGTCCTCCTAGATCTCATTGCTGCTTTTGACACCATTGATCACAGCATCTTACTGCAGAGACTTGAACATGTTATTGGGATTAAAGGAACTGCGCTAAGTTGGTTCAAATCTTATTTATCAGAAAGATTTCAATTTGTTCATGTTAATGACGAATGTTCCACACAAACTGAAGTTAGTCACGGCGTTCCACAGGGCTCTGTGTTAGGTCCAATTCTCTTCACTTTATACATGCTCCCTTTAGGCAATATTATCAGGAAGCACAGCATAAATTTCCATTGCTATGCAGATGATACTCAGTTATATTTATCTATGAAGCCAAATGAATCAGATCAGCTCATCAAACTTCAAGCATGTCTTAAAGACAAAGGCCTGGATGACCTGTAACTTCTTACTTCTAAACTCTGACAAAACTGAAGTCATTGTGCTTGGGCCTGAAAACCTTAGAAATCTGCTGTGTAATCATATAGTTACTTTAGATGACATAGCTCTCGCCTCCATTACTACTGTGAGGAGCCTTGGAGTCATTTTTGACCAGGATATGTCCTTTAAATCACACATAAACCAAGTCTCTAGAACTGCCCGTCGCGAAGTCAGGCAGTAATAAGCAAATGTGTGTGATACAACCATCAATTTTCATACTGTGGCATCATGACACCAAGCAGATGGCAGACTGTGAGCACACCTGAAATTCCCACTTCTGTCCTTTAGCAGGCATTTTGATATATTGTGTGTGCAGGCGTGTGTGTGTTGTGGGGGGGGTCCACAATTAAACACAGTGAGCTGAGGACGCAGGAACTGTGGGCATGTTACCTGTTGCACCTGGCAGCTCCTCCCTCTGCAGGAGGCCACTGGCTCAGCCATGGAGGTCTCATCATCTCCTTCATAGTTCTCTCCTCCTCCGCCTCCTCCGCGCTGGACGTCAGGTTTGGATATGAACCTGTTTTATTCAGAAACAGGTTTAAAATGGTTTGGTACAAAACAACAAATAAAACAGCTGTGATTTACACTCAGTGTTCAGTTTATTAGGAGCACCTAGCTAAAACTGAGTCAGGCTCATCTAATCTGATGTCATTAAACTCTGCCTCTACTGGGACAAAAACCAACCAATCAGTAAGCAGCAGAAACAACTCACCAGGTCTCCTTCTCCTCATCTTCAGCGCAAAGGGAGGAGGTGTTGCCTATACCTGACTGGAAGCTCCGCCCCCACTCCTCCTCCTCCTCCTCCTGATTGGACAGACAGAGAGACAGGTTGAGGAGACATTCGGTTTGTTGGAGATAAATGACTCATCTCCTGGAAACTGTAAAGGTGCAGTCAGCCCGCTGGAGACCCAACAAAGCTCAGTCAGAGTTCAAGGAGCCAGGTCCATTCAGGTCCAGAAGCAAATTAGACTTGTTCAAGATGAGCCAGGTCTGCTCAGAATCGCTCACCGGGGATCGTCTTACTGTCCGATTGATCTTGACATGCTCTGACGTAACGCCTACGTAGGCAACGAGATTCTGTGAAAAAGCTGAAAGTTTGGTTTGCTGACATTTCATTACATCAGGATCGGACCCAAGAAGATCTTAGTGTTTCTGCGACTTCCTGTAGACTGAAAGGTGGCAGCTTGATCTGGTGAGCTCATTGTTTAGGTTTGTGTCAGAGCCAGTTGGGACCAACATGGCTGCATTGTGATTGGCTCTGATCAGGCCTGGATCAACACAAATGACAGTGATGATGTCACTACCTGTGGTGCCAGGGAGGGGTCAAAGAAGCAACAGCTCCTGACCCCAGGGTCAAAGGTCAAGCCCCCAACATCGAACAGCCTAGGAGAGCTGCTGGACTATAAACACAGACACAGTAAATGTCAGGCACCTATTTTATTTTTTTGTTGCAGACTCTGTAGTCCATGTACCTTACTGAGAGTCTGGTCCTGGTCCTCCTCCTGGTCCTGGTCCTGCTCCTTCCAGCGTAGAAACTCTCTGAAAGAGAACGGGTTCAGCTCCTCAGCCCCCACCTCTTCATCTGAGGACACAACAAAGCAGAGGGAATGGTCGGACGTGTGTTCACGTTGTGCAAGTGGTTCAACAGCTCTGCAAGGACTGCTGACCTTTGACCCCTCTGTGGGGCAGCCCATCACTGCTGGTATGAACAAAGAACAACTAGACAGCACTCAGAGAGAGCAGACCTCCACCAGCTCAGTGTCCCCATAATGTCATAACAGCAATATTCCCATGACATAATACGATTGCCTGACCATAAAAACCTGCTGCTGGCATTTGGAATGACGCTGATGTCACTGTTAGTTTTAAAGTTATTCAAGAACAATGACAGATGTGACAGATGTCCATTGGTTTGTGGGTAAAACAGGGACTTCGGTGAGCAGACCGCGGGCAGATGAAGACGTCACATTTCTTCCAGTTCGAGTTCTGCTTGTTCAACAGCTGTTCGATTAACTGCTCATCCAGCCTGTTACTGGCTGATCGGTGCACTGTGGACTGATCCTTCACATCCTCTGCTCAGCTCTGTGTGTGAGAGGAGATCAGCCCCTCCCTCCTCTAAACAGAGACCAACACAGTGCAAAGCAGGACGGCGTGAATCCATGAGGTTATGCTGGGTGATGGTTAAGGGAAGCATGGCATGTACCACTCGTTAGGCTCCAACAGTGGAAATGCAGCTACTATGTGCAGCTGGAACAGCGGCGTCCTTGCCAACAGACTACTGAGCTCTGAACCACATGTAGCTGCCAGCTAACAGCTAGCTTGGTCAGATAACAAGCACTCACATCTCTGAAATCATCGAAACAAATTCTAAATTGCCGTTCCCTGGACAGACTGACCACATATGCTCAGTCTAGGTGGTTACTGTGTTGCCTGCAAACATGTCATAACCTAATAGAGTGGCGTAATCCCAGTCCTACGGATGAAACCGAGAACAGCTTTGAGCCTGGCTCCAAACCTCTGCCACCAGGCTCTCGCCTGGCTGTTGCTGCGTAGAGCAGGTCTCTCCCCAGCTGTGGGCCGTGGCCTCGCTGAGCTCCTCCAGTCCCCGTCTCACACAGCGGGGTGGGCTGAGTCACAGCACTCGGTTTCCATTGACTGTGACCTGGCTTTGTCTCCACTTGTGCTCTGAGTGCTCAGCAGCGCACTTTGGTCAGAAGGGGGCTCACATACAGTCAGAAGCCTTCCCAGCATTCACAGTGGGGAACAATTTTTTAAAAATGTTCCTGTATCCAAATTATGATATGCATCAGACCCAAAATCTAATCAATCGTTTCATGGAAAGAACAATGAAGGAACAGCAGCACAGAGTCCAGACTGAAAGCAGAACAGCCTACAGGCACAACACATCTGTGGGAACATCTGCAAAAGTGCTGTCTGTCCCAACAGTGTTTGGTTTCAGCTGCAGAGAGAATCACACAGGTGTGTTCACCTGTTGGAAGACACTGACAGCAGCTGCAAACATGGAGGTCATCTCTGACCTGACCTGTAGTGCATATTCCATCAGATACTGGATTTTTTAAACAGAACAGGACTTGCTGCTCCCTGATTTTCAGACCTCTGTTCTGTCCTCAGTGTTGGTGACAGGGTGGTTGTGTTGTATGTACAGTATTGTTAGGTAATTTCCTAGTTAGATAGATATTGATTAGAGATCTGTTGTATTAGAAGATGTTAGTGTAGCCAGGATGTCTTCCTCAGGCTGTTAAATGCAAGGTTAGTTAAAGCAGAGAAAGTCTGCAGTCAGGGATAAATGTTATTATGACGGTAAAAGTAACCATAATATTTGTCTTAATGTGAATTGTTGTGTTA